AGCAGGCAGGGGACTCTTCGAGTTCACGTCCCAAGCGAAGAAAGTGTCCATGACGGCTTGATCGATCGTGTCGAGATGGAAGGGGAACAGGATCGTTCCGAAGATTAATTACACCAGGGTTTTGTTGAAGGCAACCCACTCTGCCCTCTCAGCCAGGTAGGACAGGTGGTCTTCTAACATTGACACTCTCCATCCCTGGGTGTTCCCTCTTCCTATCAGGGTACTTTGTCGGTACGACAGATGGATAAGGGCAGCGACTGGTGCTGCAGGAGTATACGCCTCATGGCGGATATGGACCCAGCTGATTTGGGCCATTTCAACATTGTTTCATACTCCTCTAAAGTGGGCACCATGTCGAACTGCGGAAATTCAAAGCACCGCAGACTGGAGTTCCAAAAGTGAATTAGTACCCTGAGGAAGACTTGATCGACACTGATTTTTAGGAGGTCCAGAATTCGTCCATAGGACTTTTCAAAGTCAGTGCGGACCTCCGGTGGCATCATTGCACTAAGCCGTTCTAGCTTCTCAGTATGGCTTCGGAGAATATCCACCTTCCCCACTTGTCTACTTGTCCCCTCCATCTTCTAAAACCAAAATGTATGATTTGATGAAGATGATGTTTATTGAATGAATGTGAGTGTTTATTTTGCTATTTTATCATGTTTTTTTTTTCTACATGATGTATGGTATTTGCATGTATTTTATTTTTTTGGAAGAATAAACTATCTATATGAATGTTTTATGAATGCAATATTTTGGACCAGGTCTTATTTGTGAATTTTGAGAAAAATGAATTTTTATTTGTATTTTTAATTTGTTTATTTTATAGCCTTTTATCTCTTCTGTCGGAACTGCGTGACTACTTAGCTTACAAAGAACCTGAAACCAGGCTAGCTAAAAGGCAGACTGTCCGAGATAAAATATGGCTTTATGCGAAAGAATATTTATCGTCCCTTATCTCTTCTGTCGGAACTGCGTGGCTACTTAGCTTGCAAAGAACCTGAAACCAGGCTAGCTAAAAGGCAGACTGTCCGAGATAAGGGTGTTTATTTGTAAAATATTTTTTGTGATTTTGTTCTGTTGTTTGTTTATGCTATGCAACATACAAATGCAACAATCATATGCACACACAATTCACTCATCCGCGAACAGGCGAGATTTCATTTTAATCACGAGGTAGGGTTTTCCTGCAGAAAAGTGCATTGGTTGGGGTAGGTTCTAACTGTTCTCACCAGGCTAAGGCCCCCAAGGTGCCCCCATTATAGGGTCCCCACTCTCCAGCCGTCCAACCATGCTCAGCACTAAGGCCAGAGTCGGTCTTGTTGCCAAAAGAGGAAGGTTATCACCTTGAGTGGTGGTTTCCGATCACACTGGTGGGCACAAGGCCCTAACTGCAGCGAACCGTACCTGCCACCCACTCCCTATGGTTATCTCACTTGCCCCCGGGTATAGAGGGAACTATTGTGTGCAAGGGATTGTGTGCAGTTTATATTTCAAGCAATTTGCAAGTATAAACAATCAACGATTTATTAAAGCCAAACAATAAACATGTTATAAATACAAGTTAAGGGCAAAAGTGTTATTTTCTTGATTTATTTATTGTTTAAGCCGGCCCATCACTAAATGGGATTAACTCTCTAAGCTTCCCCAGTGGAGTCACCATCTGCCGCCGCCTCCCCGAAAACGGGGGGAACGGTCGGAGCGACGCGATGGTTTTTTCGACCCTTCTTTGATTTTCGCGTTTTTATAGGTGGTTACAACGTCCTTAGGTTGTCCGATAACCGGGCTAACCTAGAGACGAGGTTTTTGAAAGGTGTCCTTGAGTTGTCCGATAACCGGGCTAACCCAAGGACTTTATTTATTTTGGGTTCTATGGAGTCGCCACCGATGTTTTTACCGGAAACATCGGAAAAGGGGTTTTGAAAGGCGTTGGTTTTCGAAAACCAACTTTGGTCATTAGAACCAGAGTTGGGTAAGGGAGTTGGTTACGAGCAAAGGGAGTATTAGTCCCTTTACGACGCCCCTTTCGGGTTCCCTATGACAGGCCGGCTTATTTTATTGATAAACTAGAAAAACATACTTTCGCCCTTTTTATTCTGCGGAATTTAAAAGTATGACTACATGGCCCTAATGTCTATTGCATAATTTAAGATAACAACGGTAAAGATGAAGGGAGAGAATTTGAACCTTCGAAGCACGCTTTTTATATTAATTCTCTAAAAAAAATAGGGTGCTTTATGGCAGCCCTTCACTCTACAAGACGTCGGAAAACCTCTCGAACGCCGAAAATCACTCTTGAAAGCACTCAGAAGCTCCGGAAATGCGTCGGAGGGATTCTAGAGAGAAGTTTTTAGAGAGAAGGGAGAGCTATGCAGCTGTGGTGTGTGGAAATGAGGGGGGGAGAGCCCCTATTTATAGGTTTTCGCGCTGTTAGGTGGCAAGACCGCCGGTCTCGTCTGACAGGGTCGAGACCGCCGTCTCGCTCAACGAGACCGCCATCTCGACCTGTCAAAATGGCGAGAACTCCGTCTGGGTGAACAAGACCGCCGTCTCGTCCTTCGCATGTGGCGAGACTGCCGTCTCGTTAAGCGAGACGGCGGTCTCGCCTCCTGCGTGAGGCGAGACGGCGGTCTGGTTGGTCCAGACGGCGATCTCGTCCCTTCGAAGCGAGAAAACTTATTTTTTGGTACAGAAACTCCCTCCTATCCTAGTATGGGGCCTAATAGTCTCTCCTAATGGCTTGTTAGGCTTGTCCATCTTCAAATAGGAGGTCTTCTGGTCTTTATTTGGAGGCCGGGCAGGATTTGGGGTCTACAATAGTTATTATCATCATCACTAGAAGATGAGTCAGAATCACTTACCTCAAAATCAGAAGATATGTTGTCATTTGCCATTAAGCAAATATTTGCTTCTACTTCCGAGTCACTTGATTTCGAACTTGAATCACTATTGTCCCAAGCAATATAAGCTTTCTTCTTGAAGAACTTTTTGCTTTTGTTTTCTTCGTTCTTCTTATTTGGACATTCGGTCTTTACATGTCCTGCTTCACCATAACCATAACATTTTATATTTACGGATGTACTTTCTTTTACCTTTCCCTTACCTTTGAAAGGATGCCTTCCTTTAGCTTTCATGAATTTGGTGAACTTCTTTATCATAAGACTCAATTCTTCTTCTTCGTTCTCCGAGTCTTCTTCTTCCTTTTTATTTTTACCTTTGGAAATTTCGGTTTTGAAGGCTAAGTTCTTCTTTTGATATTGTCCTTCTTCTTCATTTAGCCTTCCAAGTTCAAGCTCATGCTCTCTAAGCTTTCCGAATAGCGCCGCCATAGACATTGTGGAAAGGTTTTGTGACTCCGAGATGGCCGTCACCTTAAGTTGCCATTTCCTATCCAAAGATTTTAAAATTTTAACATTCAATTCATCAACGTCAAAGATTTTACCTAATCCAGTGAGATGGTTCACAATATGAGTGAAACGCTTTTGAACGTCGAATATCATTTCGCCTTGTTGCATTCGGAACATCTCGTATTCTTGGATTAGGGAATTTTTCCGTGCTCTCTTAACGTCATCGGTACCTTCTTGGGTTACTCTTAGCATTTCCCACATCTCTTGAGCACTTTTACAAACAGAGATCCTGTAAAAATTGTCAAGGGTTAAAGCAGATGAAATTATATTTCTAGCCCTAACGTCAAATTGTGCTTTTCTGTTTTCCTCTGTTGTCCATCTAGAAAAAGGTTTGGGAACGTCAACATCATTCTCAATAACTTTAGGAACATATGGACCGTTTAAAATAGCGTCCCAAACGCCTCTATCAACAGACTCTAAAAAGATTTGCATTCTTACTTTCCAGAAAGGATAATTTTGACCCGCAAAAAGTGGGGGTCTGTTGATAGACGCACCTTCGGAAAAAGTTTGATTTTGTCCGGCCATTTTCGAAAATTTTGAATGACTATCAAAGCAAGCTCTGATACCACTTGTTAGAATCGCGCAGCGGAATGTTCGCGTGGTCGAACAAAAACCAAGAGGGGGGGGGGGTGAATTGGTTTCTTAATAAAAATTAGGTTTTCAAAATTTTCCCCAAATTTTACCGATTAAAAATCTATGTAAACGTAAATAGAGTAGAGATAGAATCTTACACAGGAGATTTATACTGGTTCGGATCAAAAGACCCTACGTCTAGTTGCTAATCACTCAAACAGAGGATTAACGCTGTCACTATAATCACAGTTGTTACAAACAGATTACAATGGAAAAGATAAAGTAAAGAAAACACCTCTCTTGAAATCCACAAGAGATGAAGAACAACTTTCCCTAGAGACGGCACATCACACAATCCACTAAGAACTCCACTTAGTGATTCTTATCGCTTCTTGCCCACACCAGGTTCCAAAAGCCCCTTTTTCTTGCAACAAACAGTTCTCTGGCACTCACAGCACTTAACTTTTGTATGAAAAAGGTTGTTCATTTTTCTGAGTGCCATAGAGAAGCTTAAGTAGAGAAATTAGGGTTTGGGAATTGGGATTTTCGAAAATAGGAGTCTTGGAATTAGGGTTTTCAAAAATAGGGTTGATTTGAAGTTGAAAATCAAAATCTGACTGAAATAATCGATTAAATGAAGTGTTAATCGATTATTACAGAGCCAAAATCAACAGAACCCCAAAACTCTCTGTTTTAATCGATTAAAAGACCTGTTAATCGATTAACAGGCCTGTTAATCGATTAACAGGTGTGTTAATCGATTAAACCAGTGAGCAGATACAGATAATGGTTTTTCTCACTGTTTTAATCGATTATTTCACCATTTAATCGATTAAAGCCGAGGCACTTTGATAAAATTGAGCTTTTTGAAGCTTCTAAGGTGCAGACTATGTACCGGCTATCTCAAACTCTAATATTACAGACTCAATCTAATCAAAACAGAGTTATTACACTATAACACAAGTCTTCAACTCTCTACGTTCTTGTGTTCTTGAATCATCATCAAAATCAACAAGCTTCATGCCCATCAAGATTAACATCAAGTCCTTGAATGTTCAACACTCCATCCTCAGCTCTCACCATCTCCTTCAACCCTACTCCTCACCTCCATTTCCCATTCCCAGCCACTCACCTACGAGAAGAACCCTCTCTTTTTCCCTGCATTTTGCCTCACCTCACTTCCTAGCTCAACCCGCGCACCCCACCACCGTCCTCTGTGCCCTCACCCATTTCTTCTCCATCCCGAGCCAAACCCCTCTCCCTGATTCAAGTAGCTACATCCTAGCATCCCCTAACTTCACATTTGGCCAAGCAGCTTCCGTGAGTACCCATGACCACCTTCGCCTCATGAACTTCTGGTGTCGAGCACTCCGTTTGGGTCACTGTGTCGTGCCTCCACCTTCACCACACCTCGCTCGCCTCACCCGCGATCCCCTCCATCGGGAGCCACTGCACTACCTCGACGGCCTCCTCCCTAATCCCTTGATAGATATATTTTTACTCATTCTTTTATGTTTGGCTTATAGTATTTTAGGCTGGTGTTGATGCCATCTGGTTTTTTTAGATTTGTTTTGATTTAATAAGTCAATTTAGACATTAGTTCATATTTTTAGTTAATTTTCGTATTTTTCCAGTTTTGTACAGTTTTCTTGTGCAGGCCATATCTGGAGCTACAGACCTAGGATTTGGACGTTCTTGGTGTCGTTGGAAAGATAAGAAAAAGGTCTGAAACTTCTCTGTTGGACGAAAGATCCAGTTCAAACTTTAAGAATGTAGAATTTTGCTTACAAAATTGCAGCCCTGGGCAAATTTTTAGATTAGGACTTAATGAATTGTAATTAGGGTATTAGCGACTTAAGCTTTTGGGCTAGGCCATGTTTAGTCAGATTTAGGCTTATTAAGACATTTACATATAGAAAAAACATTACATTGGTTTGGATCTTCTTTTCTTTTTTTCAGTTTATTGTTGAAATTAGTTTGTGGTTGGAGTATTAGTATTGGTCATTCTGTTGTTTAGTTCTTTGTGGATACATATATTTTGCTGTGTTTTGTTCACTACTAGAAAACTAATTTTTTTTTGCCAATTTTCTTGCAAAAAATTGTTTAAATTTATAGAAAAACTTATTTCTTGCAATTTTTACAAAAAATTTACAAAAATATTCCCATGAAAAATGAGAATTTTTAGTAGTGGTTGCTTGCTCATAGTTTCAGGTCCAGCAATTTGAGCAGAGAGAATTTTAAATTTCTTTCAATGTTCTATGTTCTGTTTTAGTGGGTCTGTTTCAGTTTTGCTGCAATAAGGAACATTGATTTCCACCACTTGCATTCTATTGTGTTAAGTGAAATTAAGTCCTTGTATTTTGCTATCTTTGTGTGTATTGTTCCTTTCTGTAGATGCAACAAGACCAACCAGAGGAGAATTGGAAATTATAGTAGCAGAAAAAAAAAACCAATGGAACAGTAATTCAATTGTTGCTGTAAAATAGAATTTTGCTATCATCACATTGTTTTGTTGCATAAACATAGCTTAGACAATCAAATTCTGTTTCTGTTTACTATTTTTCTGTTTTATTTTCTTCTATTGTATATAAATTATTTTCAATCTTTTCTTGAGTGGTTCATATAGTTGCACTTTGAATTTTGCCTTGCCAATTTTTCTGGTTGTTTTTCATGATTTTAGGAGTGTTTTGGTTCAGAGATTTTGTCAATTGAGTTTTGTGTTACTGTTTTGATTTTTTTAGGCTTTCTATTGACTTTTGGTTGACTTTTGAATTTTTACCTTCTCTTAACCTTTGAGTGATCTTGTTACATGACTATTGATTGTGGGTTTCAATCTGTTTTGCTTGTTTCTCTAGTTGAAAATGGTTTTGGCCGAGCGAGGTGGTCGGATGGGTTAAATGTTGAACAGGCCAAGGTTGAGTCCAAATGATTTCAATATTGTTACATTTCACCTTTGTTGTTTATAGGGACTCATGTCTTCTCCAGTTTCCAATAACAGATCTAAGAGGCATGGTCTTCCTGGTCTCCTCTCTGGTGAACCAATTGGAATGAATTGTTTACAAGTTTCTTAAATATTTCAGGCAACATTGAGAATTGCCAATCGCAATTGTTGTTTGAGATGAGATATTCTCTTTGCTTGGATACTGACCGTGCTTTCCTTTTACCTCTTTCTTTATTGAAGGAGTTGAATTAGGAATTATAGGACTTGTGGCTAAACCTGCTGCTAGTATACTGAAGTTACAGTAAAATCTGCACTCAGTATTAGAAACCATAGTAGACCCAGTCAATTAAGACAACAACACTTCAGGGTTTGGCTTCAAAGGCCACTGTACAGGATACATTCAGGGGAAGAGTTTGTGAGTTCCCTGTTGTGAACGGTGTTCAGTACAAGGGTGATGGTTATACAACATGTGAAGGTATGCATTTTCCAATCTAAAAAGTTATTTTAGAATATCAAAATATTTTTTTCTTTTTTCTCATAAAACAAGATGGCTATGGAAGCCAGAGATTAAAACATTTCCTGTATGATTTGGAAGTCATTCAATTTGAAAATTTCATGATTGAGAAAATACAGTGTTTGGTTGGTGTGGGATAACTTACACAGAAAACTTTTGGAAGATATAAAAGCCCCATTTCAGAATTGCTAAATTTGACTTATTCAAATTGTAGACCCAAAATCTTGCCCGACCTCTCAAATAAGGCTAGAAGACCTTCGTTCGAAGATGGATAGGGCCTCTTTAGGTCCCTAGGCATGTTTACTAGGCTCCATAGTAGGATAGGAAGGCCTTATGTACACGAAAATAAGAGAAATCTCGCCAAGAGACTGAGACAGCCGTCTCGTTTGGCCAGACGACCGTCTCGCCCTGACTGGCATGGAAACCTATAAATAAGACCTCACCCCCCGCCCTCATTTCACACCATTCTCACAGTTCTCACACTCCTACTACTGTCTTGGACGTTTTTTTAACACTTAAGAGTAACTCTAAGCACTTTCCAGAGTTCGAGAGCCTTCCGATTTCCGTTTAAAGTAGAAATCGGTTAAGGAAGTCTCCCATTGAGAAGTTCGGCCCTTGTTAGAGTGTTCTTTTTTCTTTATTCTGGGAGAGGAGCGTGCTTGTAGAGTGCGGGGACAACCAAAAAGCGTCCTCATTTCTTGAAGAGTTAATATAAAAGCTCGCTTCAGAGGTTCCTTTTCTATTCTCTCTCCTTTATCGCTTTCTTTACCGCTTTCCTTGTATGCATTAGATAACAGGATCATGTAGATATTTAAAATTCTGCAAGTAGATAAATAAATAGGGTAAAAACATAGTTTCTTAGTCTTTATTTTATAAACTAGTCCATCATAGGGAATCTAAAAGGGGCGTTATGGGGTGTTAACACCTTCCCCACACTTAACTAACTCCCTTACCCAAGTCTATTTATAATGGCCTGTCGCCGCCGTCCCTTTCGACGTCCGGAGGACGTCTCGAAACGTTTATGCGAGCGGTCGCGAAAGATGGTTTAGACTCGCGTATTTGTTTTAAAAGGTTTTCGAAAAGAGGTTCTTATGGAGTCGCCACCAATGTTTTAACCTTAAACATTGGAAAAGGAAAAAATGTTGATTTTAAGAAAAACCGCACTTGGCCATTATAACCAGAGTTGGGTAAGGGAGTTAGTTACGTGTGGGGAAGGTGTTAGCACCCCACAACGCCCCTTTCGGGTTCCCTATGACAGATTAATTCATTTAAATAAAGATTACGAGAAATTACGCGATTACCCTATTTTATTACATAATATTAAATGGCTATCTACATGATTTTATTCTATGTTACATGCATAAAATGATGAATAAAGCTAAATAACGCAATAAAAGAGATATTAAAATAGCTATCTACATGATTTTACTCTACATGGCATAAATAGTAAATAAAGCTAAATAAAACAATAAATAAAGCAATAAAAGAGAAGAGAATTGAAAAGAACCTCCGTAGCAAGCTTTGTATTGAGAATCTCCAACTATGAGGATGCGTTTTGGCAACCCCTCTCTCTACACGAGACTCTCCTCACCAATACAAGATCGACCCCACTAAAAATTTAAAGAAGAATCGAATGCCGGAATATAATTCCTTAACCGATTGTTACCTATTTAAGGCAATCGGAAAGATCATTCAAGAGAAAGAAAGAAATAGACAAGTGCTCTCGAGTTTTAGAAAGTGTTTCGAGCTCTCTGGAGTGTCCGTGGTGTGAAAAAGTGGCAAATGAGCCTCCTATTTATAGTTTTTCGCAGCTGGCGCACTTTGGGACGGCCATCCGGGGTGGGACGGCCGTCCGGACTGGGACAGCCGTCCCAAATGGCAAAATTACACAGGCTGGGACCCCACGGGAACCGGGACGGCCGTCCCACATAATCGGGGCTCGGGACGGCCGTCCCAACTTCGGGACGCGCGTCCCAACTGGCTGGGGCAGGTTGGGACGGCCGTCCCAACTGGGACGACCGTCTCAACCTGTTCTGGCCAGTTTTGCGCGTTTCGGGACTCCGGGAAGCTCTCCTTGCCTGTTTTGGACGTCAATTGATGCCGATATGTGTCTATTGAAGCTTTATCTTCATATGGGAAGTCTCCTTGGCTCTTATTTGTAATGCTAGACGAGCTTTATCTTGTTACGGGTGATCTCCTTTATCTTTTTTTGAGAGGCCGGGCAAAATTAGGGGTCTACAGCTGCCCCCCCTTCACCTGCCCAACTAATTCGTTGGTTTTGGTATACCGACAAAATTAGTTGGTAGGGGAAGGAGTTAACCCTTTTGCCCGGTTATTCTTCGGATGCTGCTCCTTGTTGATCCTCCGGATGATAAATATTTTGATAGGTACCAACCCCTATCTGGTTTGAGCTTCCTTTTTAAGGTTTTGGTGGGTACCTACCCCCACCTGGTATGAATCTGCATTTTTAAGGTTTTGGTGGGTACTTACCCCCACCTGGTACGAATCTGCATTTTGCCAGATTCTAGTGGTTTTTACACCCCCACTGGGTGCGAACCTGTATATTGACTAGGTTCTAGTGGATTTTACACCCCCACTGGGTGCGAACCTACATATTGACTAGGTTCTAGTGGATTTTACACCCCCACTGGGTGCGAACCTGCATATTGACTAGGTTCTAGTGGATTTTACACCCCCACTGGGTGCGAACCTGCATATTGACTAGGTTCTAGTGGATTTTACACCCCCATTGGGTGCGAACCTGCATCTTGACAAGGCTCTATTGTGCGAGTCTGCATCTTGCCGGACTCTAATGGTTTTTACACCCCCACTGGGTGCGAACCTGCATATTGACTAGGCTCTATTGTGCGAGTCTGCATCTTGCCGGACTCTAATGGTTTTTACACCCCCACTGGGTGTGAACCTGCATCTTGACAAGGTTCTATTGTGCGAGTCTGCATCTTGACGGACTCTAATGGTTTTTACACCCCCACTGGGTGTGAACCTGCATCTTGACAAGGCTCTATTGTGCGAGTCTGCATCTTGCCGGACTCTAATGGTTTTTACACCCCCACTGGGTGCGAACCTGCATCTTGACAAGGCTCTACTGTGCGAGTCTGCATCTTGCTGGACTCTAATGGTTTTTACACCCCCACTGGGTGTGAACCTGCATCTTGACAAGGCTCTATTGTGCGAGTCTGCATCTTGCCGGACTCTAATGGTTTTTACACCCCCACTGGGTGTGAGTCTGCATTTCGACAGACACTGATGAGTATCTACCCCCATCCGGTACGAATCTGCATTTTGACAAATTCTTGGAATGCTCTTTTTGGAATATCTTTTTGATTGATGAGTACGAACCCTCATCCGGTTTCGGCGACTTATTGTCTCCGATCATGCGCCTATGGGGAGTAATTTTTCTTTTTTTTTATTTTTTTGTTTTAGTCATCCGGTTTTACCGAGGATTCTTGATTTTTGGCTTTTCTTGTTTTAGCCATCCGGCTTTGCAGGGATTATGTTGATTGCCTCTTTTAGGCGGGAATCCTTTTGGGGATTTTGAATTCTCTTATTGATTGTGCCTCTTGATTAGGCGAAGATTCACTTGAGGATTTTGTTGTGCCTCTTGATTAGGCGGGAATCCACTGGGATTTATTGATTCTTGATTGTGCCTCTTGATTAGGCGAGAGCCCACTTGGGGATGTTTTTGTTTGGTTGTGCCTCTTGATTAGGCGGGAATCCACTGGGGATTTGTTGATTTTTGATTGTGCCTCTTGATTAGGCAAGTGCTTCAATAATGATGAAGGCTTTTTACTTGTTGTTCGCCTCGAATAGGCTGATGTTCTATTTGAGGATATTTGTTCTTGATAGTACCTCCGAGTAGGTAGATGTTTCTTGAAAGTTTTGTTTGTATTACCTCTTATAGGTTGATTTCCCATTTCTTGGGGATATCGGCTCTTTGCTTGTTTACGAGTAAGCATAGGCATTCTTGAGAGTGAAGGTTTTGTACTTAGCTGGGGATATTCATATTGGGTGCTTAACTCCCTGTGGATTTGTAATTTGTAATTTGCCTTTGCGGTTAGGCTTACTGGGGAGAAAATTTTCTTTTTGATGATCCACCGGGGGGTTGATTTGCCTTCCTGTGGATGGAATTTTCTCATTTTCTTCTTTTATAGATTTTTCTTGATGTGCTCTTCTTGGGGATTCTCTTTCCGGTTGCCTCTCGGTGATGTAAAGGACTTGACTTCGTATGATGGGCTCTTGTGTAACCCTTATTCTCCGTTTGGGGAATGAAGTGGAGATCCTTATATGAGTGTGCTTGATGACTCATGTGGTGACGAAGATGAGTCGCGAGGTATTCTTTTTGTTTTGCCTCTGGAGTAGGCAAGGATCCGCTTGGGGATAATTGAGCCTTTCCGTTGGCTTTTCTACATTGATGACTTTTCTGGATGTGGTGGATGTT